ACCAGGGAATTGGTGAAGAGTTTCTCAAGGCTTCCCAGGGAAGGGAATCCACTTGGGAATGGTGGCAGCAGACCAGATCTAAGCTGGTAGTTAAGCTTAGAAGTTTTCATGCAGGCCCCCACATTTGTATCCTAAAGTTCAGAGTGGGGAAGCAGCCTTGACAACCTATAATTGAAAGGGCATCATTCAGGGCTGGGCTGAGGGGAGCCCAGACATCATAGAATACCAGAGTTGGAAGGGACCTCAGGAGGTCATCTAGTTCAACCCCCTGCTCAAAGCAGGACCAATCCCCAGTTCCCGTCTGGCTGAATCTAGCAATCCAAGGGAGACTGTTCCTGCTTAGCACTGACATGCTGCTGGGGCAGTCCCCACACATGTTGCCCCACCCTGGTGCCAGTATTTCCCACTGCTCTGTCCTGGCCAGCAGCAGGGTGACGGTGGGTGAACCAGGCCCCATGCAATGGCTGGGCAGGGATCAGGGACACAAAGCTCCCTACCCCTCTTGCCTGGGAGTCTGGCCATCAACCCCTCCCTGGGTAAGGCGGCAGGCCAGAGACAGTCCAGGAGATACAAGGCAGGCTGCAGCATAGCTGGAAAGCAGCTACTGAGATGGGAACAGCCCCATGAGAGGGTGGGGGGAGATCTGTGACCATGATTTGTGTCAACAGCTACAGAGTGGGGTTTGTGGGTTAGAAGAGGGGAGTCTGGGAGCCAGGACTCCTGGGTTCTGAGGCACAGCTGAGCCCTCTGTCTCACCAATCTGGGATCCTCTTACATTGTGATGTGACAAACTGCAAAGCCCTCCAAGCTTGCACTCACACCAACATCCACAGGCAGGGACCATGCCCAGCTATGTTCATGAATGGTCTGGCCAGCCAATTATGAACCCGCAATAGACAGGCTACAGCCAAAATACCCCCAAGCTCCTGAGGCTAGGACCCCAGAGCTGTACCATCCTGTCCTCATCAAAACCCGACCAGTATGAATTTATTAACCAGTTCATCATTTCTACAAAGGAAAGTGGACATGCACCAATTCTTTTTCCTGGGCTGAGAGTCTTCCCTTTGCATTTCAAACAACACACAGTGTTTTAGATAAAATATAAAACAGATTTATTAACTACAGAAAGATAGATTTTAAGTGATTATAAGAGATAGCAAACAGACTGAAGTACATGACCTAAGAAATAAAGAAAATTGCAAGCTAAGTTTTATAGACAGGATTTGTATCAAGCAGTGTCTTACCCAGGGTCATAGAAATTTCTGTCCGTTCCAGCTGAGGAATAAGGAGAGACTGACACAGCTAATCAAGCAAGGAGCCCCAGGAGGGGCGATCCATTTATTTCAATTGCAATTGGGTTCGAGCTCATAAATCAGCAAGAACAAAGAAAACACTTACACCAAAGCATTATATGCAGTTGCTTATGATAATCTATCGCTCTATGATTGGCCAAAATTTGCCATCATTACCATACATAATTAGCAAGTTACATGTATCTGCCCCTCTTATGACCCCTTATTGTTCATCTATTTGCCCCCTCCTCCTTGCTTATTTTGCGAACTAAGCAGTTAGCTATCTACAGGACGCAGGCACAGAAAGGTCCATTGTCTTCAGGTTTGGAGTTTGGCTACATTTCCTCTTGAAGGAACTTCCTGACTACCTATAGCTGACCCTGCATTTTGTCCTTCTTCTTTCTCCCATGTGTACGTGACAAATTTGCCCCCTGGCAGTTAAGTAGAATAATTTTATATCACCAGTACACATAGGTTAGCCTTTGCATACACAGGCAGGCTTCCTTCTTTCCTGCCTCAGACCAGCATCTCCCCCTCAATCTTTTTCCCTCCGGTCCTTCTAGATGTGGCATTGTGGGGAAAGCAAGGTCAGTTATGTCTGTTCCTTTCCCCTTTTAGATCTTCTTCCCACTTGCTGGAAAGCTCTCGTCTGGTGTCCTGGGTCTTCCCCTCTGGGATCCTCTCAGGTTGTCAAACAGACTGCAACAGGCTCTGTTAAGTTGCAGAAGTTAAACACAGGCAATGTTTATTAAGGGGAATCTGCCATAATGTTTTGCAATAACAGTGCACACTGCTGTAGGACGCTCACCCTAGTGGCTGCAGTGTTCAGTGGACAAAATCTCTAACCCTGCTGACAAAGCTTTTAGCTCCAGTGTCCGAGACCTGTGTTTCTGGAGCCTCAGGTGCTGGGTTCTGTCCCTTCTGCTTCCTCCCTGCAGTTTCACTGGAGATTGTTCTCTGAAGCAGCTGGATTTATCATTACAAATCTCAACCCATGCTGTAACAGCAGCCACAGAGAAATCCCTCTCACTAGAGTCTTTCACACCTAAACAACAAGGAGTCAGGTGGGCACCTTAAAGACGAACAGATTTATTTGGGCATAAGCTTTCGTGGGTAAAAAACCCACACCTAAACTATTTCACACCTAAATTAATCTCAGAGAAAACAAGGGGGATTTGGCTGCAAACCTGTTCCTGCACCGCCAGTGTGAATAAAAGGGAAATAAGAGATCCAGAACTCCCCTGTTCTGCTCCTTGGGTCTGGTTTGCTAGAGGGGACGGGCCAGTGAGACTCAAGGTCCAATGACTTGGACTAAAGTGTCTCTCTCCAGAGGCCAGAGTCAGAGCAGTGAACCTCTCGGCTAGAGTCCCCCTCACTTACCCTTGGCAGATATGTCAGAGCCACTAGATCCCTGGTCATTTGCTGTGCAGAGGAGAAGGGAGAGGATATTAGCATCTCTCACAGGCAGGGTTTCAGCATAGTTAGTAGATACGGAGACTCTTATCCAAAGGGGAACAGTCATCACCTTACTTTCCCCTAGCAGTGAGATGGTTGGTGCACAGATCAGTCTGCAGTGCAGCTGCCCTGGATTTCCATTATTCACATGCAAAAAACGTTACCATTGTAGGGGGTCAGCACTGCTTTGTGCTTCTCATGCCTCTTCAGAATGGGAGCACTGAATACTCAAATTCAAAGGCTAGCAAACTAGGAAATGCTGGGCTAAGAATACATAAGAACAGCCATACTGGGTCCAACCAGAGGTCCATGTAGCCCAGTCTCCTGTCTTCTGACAGTGGCCAGTGCCAGGTGCCCCAGAGGGAATGAACACATCAGATAATCATCAATGATCCATCCCTTGTCACTCATTCCCGGCTTCTGGCAAACGAAGGTTAGGGACACCATCATTGTCAATAGCCATCGATGGACCTATCATCCATGAATTTATCTAGTTCTTTTTTGAACCCTGTTATAGTCTTGGTCTTCACAACACCCTCTGGCAAGGAGTTCCACAGATACCCCCGCCCCCTTTGGTCTGTGCCCAGAGGGGTCCTTGAAGCACACCATAGACTTCACCCTCACCCTGTGTTCCCTCTAAGCTGCGTAGTCACATGGCCACCCAAGAGTGAATCAAATACTGTGCACTTAATTAGCAGAGCCAAGCGTGGCAGCATAGGTTCAAGTGCCTCTTCCCCCGCTGCTCTGCACGCTGGCTGTGCAGAACGGGAAGGAGGGGGGTGGTGCTGATGTCAGGGTTTCCCCCTCCCCCCACCCATGTACCCCATCTCCACAGTACAGGAGCGGGGGACAAGCCTCAGGAACTGGAGAGCTCAGCTGCTGTGGTCTGAGCCTTCTGGTGTGAGTGCCTTAAAGAGACAGTGCACGGCCTCTCACAAACTTCCCCAGCAGCCAGCACACATGCACCCTGTCTGTCTGTGTCTCTCTCCCTCTCTCTCTCTCACACACACACACACACACTTTCTCCTTCACACTCACCTCCAACACATACTTGTGTTGTTCTTGTTGTTATTTCTTTGTACTTTCTGCAATGCACATATATTCTCTGTAATTTTATTCTTTCCAAGTGCTGTTATTTTAGGTTTTTCACTGGTCTATGCAGTTAAACATTTATTTCTCTTATACTTAAATTTAATTATTTGAGTAGTCAGTTCTAAAATGCCTAACCTGTCCTGGCTGGAGTAATTATCCCTATGGTAACTTTTAAAATATATATATTAAATCTAGGGTTTTTGTTTCTACTGGTGGCGCGTATCCACACAGTACTTCCATACTGGTGCACATAATAAAATTCTTTGTAAATAGGGATGAAAATAATTAGAGGGAACAGTCCCCCTGCCAATCAACATCAATTCAATCCCCGCCTTAATCAATGGCACTGCACAGAACAGTGTGGATGGTATGAAGAGGAATGCTGATTTGGGGAGGTGCTGGGCACAGAGACAAGGGCAAGTTTGGTTTTGTCAGCAGCCCCCGGGTATCAATTTTATAAAACTGCTGTACACAAAAATCCAAATATTGAAAATTAATTCCCTGATCCTGCAAACATTTAAAGGGATACATAATTGTACTCACAGAAACAGTTCCGTGTTTTAAAGTTAGGTAAGCATTTGCAGCATCAGGGACTCAGTGTATTTTTATTAAGAACTTATCATGTAGTGGCATAAAATCTGTGTCACTTCAACAGTGAAACAATTTTGTTTTAACAATAAAAAGTTATTTAAACTCTCAGTAATTTACAGTAGCATTTTTTTATACAGGCCAAAGTTTTCAAATAGTGGAGCCCAAAATTAGGCTCTTCAGCCTGCCTTTAGCTATCTAAGGGAGGGGTTTTCAAGAATGCTTAGGGCACAAGTCCCATTGACTTCAAACTGTAAAACCTGGTGGTTGAAGCATTTCAGCTCTTTACTTGTGGAAGTACAGTATACTGGATGGTGATGCTGGCCGCAAATCATCTAGCTTATTTAGGGATCTGTCTGGGGATTGGTCCTGCTTTGAGCAGGGGGTTGGACTAGATGACCTCCTGAGGTCCCTTCCAACCCTGATATTCTATTATTCTTACACATCGCTTTTCACTAGTAGATCTCAAAAAGCTCTTTACAAAGGAGGCACAGAGCACAGGCTACTTGCTTTTCAATTCTGTGTCTCTACAGTCTCATAATAGGGAATATTAATGAGGCCTCGGGCTTGTCTTTTTCAGCACAGATGAGCATTTTAAGTGTGAAACTTCGTAGTAGAAAAAAAATCTACATAAAATCTGAAATTTTATTAACAATCGAGAAATTAAAAAAAACAACAAGTACAAAACATCACTTTGGCAATTTAAGACCATAAAATGGAAGAGAACTAGCAATATGTAAATAAGAAATTTGATTTAAATTTTCAAAAAAAATAAACTAAATTTAAATGCCATAATTTAAATAAAAATTTTAAAGTTATGATTTTTATCCACCCTAAGAAGAGGAGCTCCCAAAGGGCGCTGATGAAAATGTGGGCAGGTACAAGAAACACCAAAACAAAACCAAGACTTCTTGTTTGAAAACAAGCCAAAGAAGAAAGCGACAACACTCAAGGCAACCGAATTAAGAAGAGAAAATTACTCTTGTCTTTTGTTGAAAGCAACCTGAGCAGAAAGAGTAGGTGAAAGACAGACTGCAAGGGATAGAGAAGTGTTGGGAAAGTGAAAGGTAAAGGCCAACTGGTCCCAATACAACAGTATATTTGATCCTATATAAAACATATACATTTTCAATTCATGTACATTTGTGCTTTAATGCAATTTCTATATAGATAGGGTCTGAAAGCAAGACAATTTAACACATTCTGAAACTGGGGCTGAACAGTTTATAGTTTCTGGTAAATCTAATCTGGCCAGTGTATTTATATATTTTTGTTATAGCCGGAGCCTTCACCCCACCCCAACCCTCTGCCCCAGCCCTGAGCCCCCTCCTGCACCCTGAATCCCTCATCCCCAGCCCCACCCCACAGCCCTCATCTCCAGCCAGAGCCCTCAGCCCCACACTCCAACCCTCTGCCCTAGCCTGGAACCCCCTCCCACACACCGAACAAACCCCTCAGCCCCACCCCACTAATTTTGATATGTGCCCCAATATGGAGGTGATCTGTCGCACATCACCTCCATGTTGGTGTCACATAAGATTCATTCCGCACACGAGTGGGAAAAATTAGAGGGAATGCTGTTGTAACTGTAGGGGTCCAGACCCAAAAAGGGGCTGCGGGGGCACAGCAAGGTTACTGTAGAGGGGCTGCAGTATTGCCACCCCTATTTCTGCGCTGCTGTTGGCAGGGTGCTGCCTTCAGAGCTGGGCACCTGGCCAGCAGCGGCTGCTCTGACCACCCAGCTCTGAATTGAGTGCAGAAGTAAGGGTGGCAATACTGTAATCCCCTACAATAACCTTCTACCAACACCAACACCCTCTGAAGACCCCCTTTTGGGTTGGGACCCCCAGTTTGAGAAACACTGGTCTCCCCTGTGAAATCTGTATAGTATCGGGTAAAAGCACACAAAAGACCAGATCTCACAGTATGTGATGTGTTTTTCAAGGCTGTGAATATGGTAGGGCCCCAATCATAATACCTCTGCATATCCTGATTTGCCAACTTTTGACTTCTGGGAATTAAACACTCCCATTCTGAAAGGACACAGGGAGCCCAGGGCAGGGCTGAGCACCTGCAACCTTAACTCCACATTAACAAAGTTCTTGCATGTGAATTTCCATTGTTCTGGAGTAACGAGGAGTGAGGGAGGCACGACTGAGGGCCAACTGTAGAAGGAAGGGTGATTCTCTGAGGAGGTTTTGTTGGCACTTTTCAAACCCCCTCCGTTTCCCACTGGAAGCACCCGAGAGGGTAAAGAGAGAGCTGAACTGCTACAGCCTAGCAGGGCCCGGCAGATCTGTGCACTTTATACCAGCTTTTGGTGCCACGCATTAGACGGGCTCTGAGACAGTCCATAATTTATGTAAATATTTCCCATAGTTTTAGTCTTGGTCTGTTCCTAAAGCTAATTACAGGAGACAACTGAGGAGGGGATTTGAACTCGTGGTCATGGAGGTGACAGAGTGGTGCTGATCTGACTCCCATTGACTTCAACAGGCTTTGGATCAGACCCAGATTTCACAAGCACTAAAACCACTTTCAGGTAAGTCAAAAGAATTGTAACATTAAAAGCAGGTCACACACTTTCAGGATCACACTCAGCCATAGACAGCACAGCTCTAGGGGGATAATAATTTAGCCCAACACCACTGTATACATTCCCGACTATCGACTTGTCTACATAAGCAAAATTGGGACCCATACCCACAAGCAGTGCAATTCCGCCAGTGACAGCAAAGGTGGAGCAATTGAGGAGATCGGGTTTAGGTGTTTTTAACCACTATCATCTAGACTTCCTCTGAGCAAGGTTATAGAACATGTGTCTACAGCCACTCTACACTACTGAAGAAGACCTCTGTTCGGAAAATTACACAGCACTGCACAGATTATCCAACAAGTTCTTGGAATGTATTGGAGACCATTTTTCTTTCAGACGATGGAGAATGCTACTAGGGGAGAGACTGTGCTAGATTTGACTTTGACAAATAGGGAGGAACTGGTTGAGAATTTGAAAGTGGAAGGCAACTTGGGTGAAAGTGATCATGAAATGATAGAATTCATGATCCTAAGGAACGGTAGGAGGGAAAACACACAATAAAATAATGGATTTCAAGAAGGCAGACTTTAGCAAACTCAGGGAGTTGGTAGGTAAGATCCCAGGGGAAGCAAGTCTAAGGGGAAAAACAGTTCAGGAGGGTTGAAAAGTTCTCAAGGAGACATTATCAAGAGCACAAGTACAAACTATCCCACTGCATAGGAAAGAAATGAAGGATGGAAAGAGACCACACTGGCTTAACCAGGAGATCTTCAATGATCTAAAAATCAAAAAAGAGACCTACAAAAAGTGGAAACTAGGTTAAATTACAAAGGATAACTGTAAACAAATAACACAAGCATGTAGGGGCAAAATTAGAAAGGCCAAGGTGCAAAATGAGATCAAACTAGCTAGAGACATAAAGGGTAACAAGAAAACATTCTACAAATACATTAGAAGCAAGAGGAAGACCAAGGACAGGGAAGGCCCATTAGTCAATGAGGAAGGAAAGGCAATAATAGAACATGTGAAAAGGGCTAAAGAACTTTTTTGTTTCTGTTTTCATCAAAATGTTTCAAAGCGAGGGGGAGATATGATAACAGTTTTCAAGTACATAAAAGGTTGCTACAAGGAGGAGGGGAAACATCTTTTTTCGTCAACCTCTGAGGACAGGACAAGAAGCGATGGGTTTAAATTGCAGCAAGGGAGGCTTAGGTTGGACATAAGGGAAAAAATCCTGTCAGGGTGGTTAGGCACTGAAATAAATTGCCCAGAGAGGTTGTGGAATCTCACTCATTGGCGGTTTTTAAGAGAAGGTTAGTCAGGTCTAGATAATACTTAGTCCTGTCATGAGTGCAGGGAACTGGACTAGGTGTCCTTTTGAGGTCCCTTCCAGTCCTACAATTCTAGGATTCTATGGTACTAAAGCAATAGTTGGAGATTTCCCTAAAATCCTCAGTGTAGACAAGGCCTATGAATGGGAGCGAGGATCTCCTGTCAGTGCCTCTAGGCTAAAATCCACAAGCAAATACTGATGGTTGTTCAGAGATGGCCACTTGAAAAGAGGTGATGGGTCTCTTGTCACTTACTCTGAGCTACAGCGTAGCCGTCTCCCTTCCCCCCTGCAGAGAAAAGGCAAATTTCAGTGAATGCAGCTCCCAAGGCAGGAACCAACTGCAATCGGTCTCCACAGCTCAGAAACAGGGCCCCTGGCCCAGCACAGACCCCTGGCGCTCAGTAATGGACTCAAGATCCCAGGCGCTCACAATTGGCAGGAGAGAAAGACACAATGAGACAGTTTCCAAAGACCTCAGTGCACTGGGTACTGAGCTCTTTGGAAAAATCTAGCCCCATATAAACTGTAACCCACACCCAGTTTCTGGGTCTGGCCTTCCAGCAGCTCCCATTGGGTGTCACTAGCTCAGTCCCGCAGTGGGGCAGTTACACCATACTGACACTGGTTCCTGTATTGCTGTTGTCCTTAGGTGGGTGTGCAGGGCCCAGAAAGTCCAGGGAATCACCCCATCCCAGGCTTTTTACCTGGGTGTTTCTTTTTCCAGACAACTACTCCGATTATAACACCAATCAGGACAACTGCAGTGATAACTCCAGCCACAGTGGGAATCAGATTGTTATTTGGTTCTGAAATGGAATGGAGAGAATGATCAATGAGGAAAAATCCCCACTAAAACCCTCTTACATCACACTGCAGGGATCAGTTAGTCGGCTCCCCAGATAAGCGCTGAGTCCTGCAACCCTCCACCCCTTCCAATGCAGCCACCATGCATTACACCCCAACACAGAAAGTCCTGGACACAGCCTCTACCAGTTCAATTCATAATAAATATTTAGCACTTAAAATAGAAGACTTTTACAGCATTAATCAATCTTCATAAACCTAATTATGGGAGAGCATGGGAAAGGGGGAACACTTGCTGAAGATCACACAGTGAGTCAGTGCAAGAGCCAGGAATAGACCCCAGGAATCCTGACTTCCAGCCCCTCCTGCTCTAACCTACCAGACCCCACTCCCCTTCCAGAGACAGGGATAGAAATCAGGATATCTGGCTTCCAGCCCCCTTGCTCTAACTCACTACCCCCACTTACCTCCTAGAGCCAAGGACAGAACCCAGGAGTCCTGGCTCACAGCCCCTAACCCCCCTTGATCACGCTGACTTTCATGACTAATGGAACACAATCCCATTGTGGGAGTCTGGTGATAAACTGGAAACTGACCTCAAAGCTCTGGATTTCCCAGCCATGAATGGAGTTACAGACACAATGCATGTTTTTTGAGGGGGCAGGAAGTGAAGAGGGGACGATAGAGATATTTTAATACTGTTCTTGCCTTATATAAACCTGTTAAACCCCGAGTTCTGTATACACTTTCAGTTTCACTAATCAGCTTCTCCTGTTGTCTGAAAGATCCACATAATAATACAGCAAAAAGAAAAATATTTCTAAGAAAATAAGGAAATGTGGTTTATGACACAAAAATTGGCAGGGGATGTGGTAGCAGGAGTATGATGTAAAACCATCTGATGACTAGATTTACAGTGAAGGCTGCCCTTTTAGAAATTGGTTGCACTTCCAAATGCTGCATTTTTCCATATCCCGATTAACCAAGCAAAAAGATGGCTGGAAGGCAGCTCCATCTGTAAAAAATTCTTCCTCGACTTTCTTGTACTAGGGGCATAGGAGACTGATGCAGGGCTCTAATCTGCCTCCTCGCTCCATTCCAAGGCCATACCCTCTCTTCCAGCATCACTGCACACAGAAACAAGCTGGTCCCAACATTAAACATCTCTCTCTGGCCACATGGGCAAGAATGAAGGACCTGTAGAGCCATATTTCTGAGAACCTGCTAGATCAAAGGACTGGAAGGGACCTCGAGAGGTCATCTAGTCCAGTCCCCTGTACTCATGGCAGGACCACGAGTGCATGAAGTTGAGACCAGGCTGAAAGCTGAAGCAAGACCAATTCTTTCTGGAAATAAGGAGCAGATTTGAGCTTTCCCTGGGATGTGGTAAATTCTCCATCCCTTGGAGACTTTACATCTGGAATGGGCATCTCTTTCTGAAGGGTCAGATCTAGTTTGCCCACAGATGACCAGACTGGATGCTGGGGTCCCTGATGTGATTCCCCCCTGCCCTGGGCTATGCAGGAGCTCAGATCAGATGATTAGAATGGTCCCTTCAGGCCTTAATGTCTCATTGTTAATCTTCTCCCTTCAGAGACACTGTATTGCTGAGATATATCCAACAGCCCCAGAGGCAGAAAACTGGAGAGCAAGACATGGGGTCTGCAGTGCCTGGGGCTCAACTCTAGCACAAGAACTTGACTGCAGAGGGACAGGGTCAAAGAGGACAGGGCCTCACAGACCCTCAGGCAATTCCAGCTTCAGCCTATTAATCCGAATGAGAATTTTTCAGGGGTTGAGTTTAATGGATTCCCCCTCCCCCACTAGGAAAACAGACAATCACACAAACTCCTTACCCCAGGAGACAGAGAGTGGCTCTAACAGGCTTTCATGCTCCACGTGACATGAATAATGGGCTTTGATCTTGGGATCAATCTCCATTGTCAACCAGGTCTGGTAGGTCCCATCCCCATTGGGTAGAATGCCTTCAGAGTAGGTCACCTGCTGTCTGCTCTCCCCATTTTTCAGCCAGGTCACGGTGATGTCCCGGGGGTAGAACCCACTGACCTTACAGGAGAGGGTGCTGAGGCCGTCATGAGATGACCTGTCACTCACTCTAGCTGTTGGGTGCACTGGGAAAAAGAAGAAATTGAATTTAGCTGTTTTCAAGCTCCAATCAAGGCAGTCTTTGCTGGAGCTTTGCAAAATGAAATTCTGAGACCCCAGCAGTCGGAGAGGATGAGAGTCGATGAGACGGAATCCTTCTGATGAGGATTTTCCACCCTGTTAGAGGATTTCTGTGCCGCATTCACAGCATCAGCATCCCTGACCAAATTCTATTAATGTGGTAACCAGAAGCCTCTGCTCCCAGCCACAGTGACACAAGTACCTTGAAAGGCTTCACTAAGCTCCAGATACAGGTGTCAATCATACGCTAGGTTTGTGCCCATCTCCTCTCAGTCCCTGGATATGAAAGAGGGAATAATCTTGCCATGGCCCGGGAGCAAAAAAATGGAGTTGTAGGGCAGTTTGGCTGGGGCTTGTCTCCCTCTGGGGCGGCAGGGAGCCAGACCACCTCGCTACTTTGGTCAGGTGTGTCGAGGAATTAGCTTGGCTGTGCGGCAAACCGTCAGCAGCTGCGGCCCTTTGGTAGGGGCTGAACAAACAGTTGAATATTAGCAGGCCCAGGCCCTGGATCAGGGCGGAGCCACAAACAGTCAGTAGCTCAGACCCTCAGGCAGGGGCTGAGCAAACATGTTGAACAGCAAACCCCAGGCTCCTGGCTCTGAGCAGCTGGGGAGACGGCCACCCGCGAGGTGGGGGGCAGGTGGAACGAAGGCCCACCCACTCCACTAAGTCCCAGCTCGGGGCCCTAGCAGTATCTGGGCTCGGGCTAGCATCAGGCGTTGGCTGGTCTGGCCAGTCCTCGGTTCGGCTGCCGATCGCCGTGGTCTCCCCATTGGGAGCTACACCACAGGCATCTGGTCTCTCCGGTGGCTGAGCTTCAAGTGAGCTCTAGGCTTTTATACTTCCTGTCCTGCGCCTTGACCTCTGAGGGGCGGGCATAGGGTTTGCTGGCGCCACCCTTTGGTGTCCAGGGAGGCTCCTCCCCTTCCAGGACAGCGGGGAGCCAGACCGCCTCGCTCTACACTCCCCCCCCTTAAGTCTGGCTCCCGCTCGTCGGGGCCAGACCCTTCCATACCCCCCAGGCGGGACAGGAAGTCAGCATTAGCGTGGTCCTTGCCTGCCCTATGGCGAACCATAAAGGCATAGGGCTGGAGCACTAGGTACCAACGCTGTATTCTCACATTATTGTCTTTCATTTTGTTCATCCACTGAAGCGGGGCTGGTCGGTGACTAAGGTGAACAGGGCTCCAAGAAGGTAGTAACGTAGGGCGTCACAAGCCCATTTCACTGCAAGGGCCTCCTTTTCCACCACTGAGTAGTTCTTCTCCCACGGGAACAATTTCCAACTGATATATAAGACCGGATGGTCTTCCCCATCTATTTCTTGAGACGGGATGGCATCCAGTCCTACCTTTGAGGCATCCGTTTGGAGGATGAAGTCTCGGTTGAAATTTGGGCTGTAGAGGACTGGCTCATGGCAGAGACTCTTTTTGAGTTCCTGAAAGGCGTCCTCACATTCCTGGGTCCAAACCACACATCGAGGGCTGTCCTTGGTTAAAAGGCTGGACAAAGGGGTGGCGATCGACGCAAAATGGGGAATGAAATGCCGATAATAGCCGGCAAGGCCCAAGAACTGTCGCACCTGATGCTTTGTGGTGGGAGGCGGGCAGGCCGCCAGGGCCTGGACTTTTCCCACCATGGGCTTCACTTGTCTGTTCCCTATGCTGTAGCCCAGATAAGTAGTCTCTTGCCATCCAATGCGGCATTTTTTCGGGTGGGCTGTCAACCCGTCAGCCCACAGGGACCTCAGGACTGCAGCTACCCGTATCAAATGATCCTCCCAGTGGCAGCTGTGGATGACCACATCATCCAGATAGGCAGCCACATAGTCTCGATGGGGTTGGAGGACAAGGTCCATCAGTGGCTGGGGCCTCATGGAGGCCGAAGGGCATCCGGGTGAATTGGTATAGACTTGTTGAGGTAGCAAACGCGGTCTTCTCCCTCGAAGCGGGGTCAAGGGGGATTTGCCAGTAGCTCTTGCTGAGGTCAAGTGTGGTGAGGAAACGAGCCTCCCCTCACCGGCCAAGCAGCTCATCTACGCGTGAAATTTGGAAATGGCGTTGACATGTGAGAAGTCGATGCTTGGGTAGTAGCACTATCGGACTACGCCATTCACTCTGTGAGGGTTCAATTACACCTAGCTCGAGCATGGCTTGTACCTCTTCCTCAACGATCTGTCGCATTCAGTGCGGCAAGGGCCTGGTCGCTTCTCGGATCACTACCCCAGGTTCTGTCTGAATGGTATGATAAACCAGGGTCATGTAACCCGGCTGGCAGGTGAAGGTTCGCAGGAAAGCCTGCAGGAGGCACCGGGCTTGCTTGCGTTCGTCTGTGAGGGTCTCCGCGAGCTGGGGCCCTCGGTGTCTTGGGTTAGGGCGGCATGGGGGCCCAGTTCTGGCTCCAGTGGGTAAGGGTTAATTAATAAGCCCTCGCACTCCTGCCAGGGCTTCAGGAGGTTGACATGGTACCGCTGGGTTTTCTTACATCGGTCCGGTTGCTTGACCTCACAGGTGACAGGCCCCACCTTCCGGACCACCTCATAGGGGCCCTGCCAGCGGGCCAGTACCTTTGACTCGCTCGAGGGCAGGAGAAGCAGGACCCAGTCCCCAGGGTTAAAGTCGCGGCTCTGCGTGTCTTGGTTATAGGTCCGTGCTTGAGCCTCCTGGGCAACCCTTAAGTTTTCCCGGGCGAGCGCCCGGCCTGAGTGAGGGCGTTCCTGGAGCTGGAGGATATACTTCAAGAGGCCCTGGGTTGGTGATGGAGCTTGTTCCCAGTTTTCGTGCATTTTGAGCAACCCACGTGGGCGGCGGCCATACAACAACTCAAAAGAGGAACTTTGTAGAGGCCTGGAGCACCTCCCAGATCGCCAGAAGCAAAGGCGGGAGTAGCTGGTCCCGTTGGCGTAGTTCTTCTGGGTGGAATTTGCGCAATATGTCTTTTAGAGTACGGTTAAACCGTTCAACCAAACCATCGGTTTGTGGATAGTAAATAGAGGTGCGCAACTGCTTGATCCCCAGGAGCCTACGCACCTACCACAGCAGTTGGGAGGTAAAATTGGTGTCCTGGTCCATGAGAATATCCCGGGGCAGGCCTACATGAGCAAAGACCTTCATGAGCTTGCGCGCAATGGTTCGGGCGGTGATGCTCCACAGCGGTACTGCCTCCGGGAAACGGGTAGCATAATCTACCAGGACCAACACATACTGAAATCCAGCGGTGCTTTTTGGGAGGGGTCCCACCAGATCCATGGCCACGCGTTTGAAGGGCGTTTCGACTATGGGCATGGGGACCAACGGGGCCTTGGGTGTCTGCGGGGGTATGGCTAGCTGGCACTCTGGACAGGAGTTACAATAGTCCCTTACTTCCTGATGCACGCCGGGCCAGAAAAAGCGTGTCAGTATCCGGGCTAGAGTCTTCTCTTGGCCCAAGTGTCCGGCAGACGGGATGTCGTGGGCGAGTTTCATTACTGCCCGCCGGTGACATCGAGGCACGAGTAATTGGCTCTGGGGTTCTCCAGTGCGTGGATCCCATTCTACCCGATAGAGCTGATCCTGTCGCAGTTCTAAACGTGGCTACTGCTTCACCCGGTGCGGGTCAATTACGGTCCCATCGACCGTGGCTAGTTGTTCGTAAGTGTGACTGAGTGTGGGATCTGCCCTTTAGTCACGACAAAAGTCAGTGTGAAGAAGGGGTTCAGCGGCAGCTTCTGGAGGGAGTCCTCGGGCTCTTCTTCCGGACCGTTGGGGGCTGGTGCCTCCTCCCCCTCGGACTGGGTCCCAGGGAGGCTCCCCTTCCAGTACTGGGGCAGTTGCGGGCCTCTCGTTGGCATTGGAGTGGAGGACTTCCGGGAAGTTTGGCCAGTCCCGCCCCAGGATCACCGGGTAGGCGAGCCAAGGAGCCAGGCCGACCACCATCGATCGTGTGACCCCATCCACGGTCAGTCGGGCTTGGGCACTTGGGTAGGGTCGTCTCGTACGTCGCCGTGAATGCATTGTAGACGGATGGTACCCAGTTGTGGGTCAGCCTGGAGGCCTAGGCTTTGGCCAACCAGTGTCTGGCCGCAGCCTGAGTCAATTAGGGCCAAGGTTGACCAATCCCTGACAACCACTGGCACCATAACCTTGGTGGCCTGTGGGCGTCGGGCGCAGGCTTCTCCCGTGCAGACCTGGCCGAAGCTGCAATCCATCTCGGTGCAGTCTAGTTGTAAATGGCCATATTTCCCACAGGAAAAACAGGGCCCGATATCCAAGCGCCCAGGCCGGGACAGTGTTCCCGCCTGGCCCCTGGGAGGGCTTCGGTTGGTCCTTCGAGCATCTGGTCGAGGTGCCAGGGCTTGTCGAACCGGGACCTCGGCAGGTCGGGGCTCTGGGCCCCGTGATGGATTTCGTGGTTCGCTCCGGATGGCCCCCCTTTTCTCTGGGTTAGGGCGCTCCAGTCCTGGCGGGGCGGCTCGAGTGATCGGTCCCACTGGTGCTTCAGCGGCAGGAAATCCTCCATCAATGTGATGGCAGCAGTTAAGGTCGTAGGTCGATGGCGGAGGACTCAGGCCCTCCCTCGCGACGGGAGTATATGGACGAATTGCTCCAGAAAAATTTGTTCAACGAGCTTATCCAGGGTTCGCCTTTCGGGTTGTAGCCACCGCTTGCAGGCTTCCCTCAACTCTTGGGCTACCATCCGGGGTCAGGCCCCCGTAGGATAGACCAAGCTCCGGAACTGCTGTCAAGTCTCCAGGCTAATGTCCAGGGCATCTACGCCTTTACCCAGGTGTAGCCCTGAGCCGTGTCCGTGGACAGGCCCCGATATACAATTTGGGCAGTCCCGGTCAGATATGGGGCCAAAATAGTAGCCCATTGGTCTTGGGCGCAGCCTGCGACTAATGCCACCCTCTCAAAAGTTACTAGAAAAGCTTCTGGGTCGTCGTTGGGGCCCATCTTTGTCAACCGGATGGGAGAGGCCAGGCTGGGGGGCCCAGTGGCAACCGCAGGCTGGGGCAGCAAGGTCGCCAACTGCTGCAGGCATTGCTGCTGGTGGTCCCGGTTCTGGCGTCCCAGCTCCAAAATTAGCTGTTGCTGTTGGGTTGCGAGCTGCTGGACCAGCTGCTGCTGCTGCTGCTGGACTGGGCGGCGGCCTGCTGCTGTTGTTGGCTTTCAGCTAAGAACTTTATAAGCTTGTCCATATCCATGGTCGCTCGGGCACGCTCCACCGCAGATCCCTTCTCACAAGGATGCCCACATTCTCCACCACGTGTAGGGCAGTTCAGCTGGGGCTCGTCCCCCTCCGGGGCGGCGGAGAGCCAGACAGCCTCGCTACTTTGGTCAGGTGTGTCGGGGAATTAGCTCGGCTGTGCGGCAAACCATCAGCAGCTCTGGCCCTCTGACAGGGGCTGAACAAACAGTTCAACAGTAGCAAGCCCAGGCCCTGGGTCAGGGTGGAACAACAAACAGTCACTAGCTCAGGCCCTCAGGCAGGGGCTGAGCAAACAGGTTGAACAGCAAACCTCAGGCTTCCGGCTCTGAGCAGCCGGGGAGAGGGGGAGACTGCCACCCGCGAGGTGGATAGCAGGGGGGATGCAGGCCCACCCACTCCACTGCGTCCCAGCCCGGGGCCCTAGCAGCGGCAGAAGACTCGCTGCTGTGTCAGTGGGGATCCTGACCATAACACACTAACATTGGCTGCAACACTGCCAGAGCCAGACTCGGGTCGGCTGCCCCTGGGCTACTTCCTTCCTCCCCCTCTAGAGGTACCTGGGTCTGGATGGCATCCTCCATAGGGTCACTCACCATGGGCTCCTCGGGGTAGCTGGCGAGCGGTTGGTTTGGCAGCTCCTCAGGGTAACAGGCGAGCGGTAGGCTTGGTAGCGTCTCTGGGCTCGGGCTAGCATCAGGCGTTGGCTGGTCTGGCCAGTCCTCGGTTTGGCCGCCGATTGCCGTGGTCTCCCCACTGGAAGCTACACCACAGGTGTCGGGTCTCTCCAGTGGCTGAGCTTCAAGTGAGCTCTGGGATTTTATACTTCCTGTCCTGCGCCTTGACCTCTGAGGGGCGGGCACAGGGTTTGCTGGCTCCGCCCACTTTGGTGTCCAGGGAGGTTCGTTCCCCTCCGGGGCGGTGGGAAGCCAGACTACCTCGCTACAGGACTGGATAAACTGACCAATTAGAGATGGAAAGGGCCCATTTAACAAAAAGTGACACACAGTGCTAAATTGCCCCTCAAACTAGCTAATATTAATTGGCTAATTTCTCATAGGTTGTTACCAAAACTATTTACCCAATATTATGGATTTCAAAAGGAATTATGCTAATGTTGAAAAATCAGTTTCCCAGCCCCTTGGTACTGAAATATACATTACATTGCTGTGTATGGCTTTTTCTTCTTGGCATCTGTAAAGAGGGCCAAGGACAAGATAATGTTCTGCTGAGGTTTGTGAGAGAATAAGCAACTAGTATGTTGCAAAAAACTGGGTACAAATTTCAAGTAACCTTGAACAGCAAGCGCAAACTGTTTGGGAATGGAAAGATTAGGGTGTGTAATGATGCTAACTAATTTGGGAAATTTGTGTCCATGGTAACAGACAAAGGTATATACAGGGGTAATAGTGAGTTAACATTTTGAAGCAGACTACGCTGCAACTGTCCTCCTGAGTTGGAGTGTTAAAGCATTTAACCTCTTCCCTTCTATGTTTGTGCTGATTAATCTTTTACTAAAAAGCTTTGGTAATAAATTGGAGTGTGATTATCTGATGTCTTATTGATAAAAGAATCAAGTAATAAGTAAGCAGGTATTGCAGCAAAGGTAGGTCTTGAGGGGGGAAAACTTTAAGGAGGACAAGAGTAACATTCTTCCAGGTTAGTATAGGAAGGGCAATTCCACATGTATGGGATGGCATGGAAGAAAGCACATAGATGACTGTGGGAGAAGTTTGGACAAAGAGGCAACAAGGACAAAGCTACCGTCATTGGTGGAACACAGGGGCTGGGGGTAACATAACAAATACGATGGTATAGACAGTGAATGAGGAAGAATTATATGGTGAATGAAGCTGGTGTCCACAGAAGTGGTGGCACTTCCATAATTAAGCAAAGTGCTCTAAAATGCACATGCACAGGCAGATTGCCTTGATAACTACTGTGTCTCTACAGTGAGCTGCTTTTAACATTTTCAGTTTCTTATCTTTTTTCTCCAGCAGAGATGGGAGAGGGGGAAAGGGGTTGTTTCCCCACCCATCCCTGGTGCAAGGTTAGCTGAAGGGCCCCCTATTCCCCTGCTCCATTTTGGAACTGAGGCTGGGGAATGGAGATGTAATTTGTAGTGACCTTCTGGGTGGGGCTTGTCCCCCTGACTTACCTTTCCTGTGCAGAGTCTCCTTCCCGTACTCTAGAGAACTCCTTAGCCAGGGGATACATCTCTCTTCCAAGTAGTGTTTCCACTGCTGGTTGTCAAATACTTCAGCATCCCATCTCCTCTTGGTGATCTGAGCCCCAATATCTGCTGCTCCTAAAGTCATGGTCTCCTTATCGAAGGTAAGAAAGTCTCGTCCGTCATAGGAATCCTGGTAAAACCCCCAAGTGGTGTTGTCTTCCCGGAGATCACAGCCATATTTCATCTGGATAATGTGAAACCCTGAAACACAGCTGAGGGTCAGCAGCAGCCTCTCTCTGAAAATCTCACCAAGACCCCACTGCAGGTGGCCCAGTGGTTCTTCTCCTTGCTACTGGACTCTCCCTCCCTTGAGAAATGGAGTTCCCACTTATGCTGTTGGGTCCTACACCCTCACAGCTCCTTTCAGGAGGGAACCAAAACTGCAGAGGGCGCCCTCTTCATCCGTTGGGTCTTGTACACTAAAGACCCCCCACTGCAGAGAGCTCACAACCTTCAAGGAGTACCTCACTGCTGCTTGTTCTTGTATGCTCCCTGCAGGGGGTGCAGGGTGGCACGACCCCAAAGGGAGTACTCCGGACATTGCAGGGGTCTATCCCCTCCAGCTCTCTTCTGCTCTCTGAGGATCCCCCCAATTCTGATAGTTAGGGTCATTCTGGAGAAGAGAGAGAATTCAGGGTGTCTATATCCCACTCTCTCCTGCTCTGGTTGTATTAATTTTGCAGGGTCCTCAGAGTCACTTGGTCCCTGTAGCGGGGTGGTCACCCGCTCCAACCTTGGAAGGGTTAAAGCCAGCCCTGGGAGAGGGCTGAGGCTATGAAGGAAAGCCTGGGCTGATAGGGGAAGGCAGACACAGCTGGGGCCATGCCCCAATCAGGCCCAGCTAGTCCCTATAAGAGGCTGCGGGCCAGGAGCCCAAACACTCTCTCTCTGCTTGTAGAGAGAGAAGGGCCTGGCTGCTAGGGAGCCAAGCAGGGTACTGGGAGTGGAGCAGGGCTGGGGGAAGGCTAGAGGAGCTGGGGAGCTCCAGCCTGGAAAACCCCCAGGCTGTGGGCCTAGCAGAGGGCCTAAGACAAGTCCTGGGGTTGCAAAGGGGCAGCCCAGCAATAGGTAGAGGCAGCAGGTCCAGTCCCCAACCTTGCCTGTGATGAGTGGCTGACACTGCAGTCTGCCCCAGGGCACGGGGGCGAGCTGGTGACTGGCAGTAGCCTATGACTGAGGCGAGGTGGGGGTAGTGGGTCCCCTGAGCTGGGAGAGCCGGAGAAACGGTGGGGGTCCTGCCAGGGGGCAGCACCCAGTGACAGGGTCACCTGGGGTCTAGCTTGCTGGTTGATAGCGTAGTTGGAAGAAAAAGTGTCTGACGCCCAGGTCGCCTCTCTGTAAATGTCCTGGATTGGGCCTGGGCCATGAACACCACTGAGGAAGTTTGTGCTCTCACAGAATGGGCCGTCAGGAAGGCAGGTGGTGGGACACCTTACCTGCTCGTACCACATGTGAATGCACAATGTGATCCAGGAGGAAATTCTCTGAGCCGAATGGGTAGGGCTTTCATCCTATCAGCTACTGCCACAAAGAGCTGTGTGAATTTACGGATCGACTTTCTGTATAGTCCTTTCTATAGAGGACAGAAGACCCACACACCCAGCAGTTTTTCCCAATTTGAAAAGGTACAGCTTTCGTATTGGTTCCCTTGGTCAGGTGCCAACTCATTTTAAGTTTATCTCTTAACTGTTTTCAGGTAAGGCAGTTAGGGTACAGCTGCTAAGGAGGATTCTACAGCTAACTGAATATGGTTGGGGAGTTACACAAGGGTGCTATCCTCCCTCGTTTACACAGATGGGTTCCCAGATTTGCGAGTATAACCTTTGAGGAAGTGAATGGACATTTCATGTGAAAAAACTGATCGACCACCCAGCAGGGGGTAGAATGCTGAGATGGCTGCTAGGTGTACCTTAATAGATGAAATCGCTAGACCTGGCTGTTTCCAGACTTGTTCTGGAGTATCTGCTTCATCTGAGAGATGACTCAGTGGGTGAGAGGCAGGGGTGCCGGAACAGGGGGACCATGGCCCTGCCACTTTAGGTGAGAGCAGGGGGGTGGGGGCAGAGCCTCAGGAGAAGAGGTGGAGTGGGGGAGGCATCAGGGGAAGAGGCAGAGTCACAGTTTCAGCACTGATGGCTCCCCACTCTAGGGAGGTTCTGGCACCTGGGTGAGAGGCCCTGCTGGGTAGACCAAATGGAAAAACACCTCCAGAGCTACTTGCCTTGCCAAGTGGTAGATGGTTTCCTACTGCCTAACAAGACCTAGCAGACCTGCTCTGAACAGGCCTGTTCTGCAGGTTTAACCATGGAGCTGTTAGGCAGATGGAGCATTTGGCCGTGATCTTGCGAGATCAGGTCCAGAAGGGGAGGAAGGAGCATTGGAGTTGCTACTGACAGGTCTAGAAATAAACCAAACTAGTGCTGACATGGCAGGCTGAGGCTATGAGAATAACCTTTGCCCTTGATGTTCAGCAAAGACCTTGTGCACAAAAAGTATGGGGGGAAAGGCGCAGAACAGATGCTTTCTGGAGTAAGAAGGCATCTGTGAGCGAGCCCGGGTCGCACGCAGACAGAACTGCTGACTTCCTGTTCTGTCTGGTTGTGAACAGGTCTACGAGGGGAGCACCCCACCACTGCAAAATGATCCTTGCTCTGTCGGGGCATAGGGACCATTTGCAGTGATAAGAGCTGATCTGCCAGCTCATTCTGGGCTCCCGAAAGGTGAGAAGCTTCAAGGTGGATTGAGTGCTTTATACAGAACTCCCACAAGCAAATGGCCCCCTGACACAGGGGGAGCAGAGCAGGCTGCTCTCTGCCTGCTGATGTAAAACATGGCTGCCACGTTGTCCGTAAGAACTCGCATTACGTTGCTTGCGATGTGGGGTAAGAACACCTGACGTGCTAGGCGTACCGCCCTGAGCTCTCTGACGTTTATCCATAGCACGAGTTCCTGCTGGGACCACTGACCTTGTGTCCTGAGGTGCCCGAGATGGGCCCCCAACTGAGCTTGGATGCATCCAACATTAGGGATACCGAGGGTTGGGGCCTGACAAAGGAACATCCAAGCCTACTAACCAGGGATCTGTCCGAGCACCGAGTCCGAATGATGGCCATTTGGCCGGTATGCTGAGGCCAGCCAAACCTGAAGGAGTCTGAGGTGCAACCTCGCATACTACACCACGTATACACACGAGGCCATGTGACCCAACAACCTGAGTGGGCCTTGACCGGTGACAACACTGACTGGAAGTGGGCTTCTGGGAGGAAGGCCCTGGCCTGGGTAGAATCTAGCACCGTTCCGATAAACTCTATCCTCTGAATTGGGATGAGTGTTGACTTCTCGTTGTTTATCAGCAGGCCCAGTGCTCGAAAGGTTGCTTGTACAAGGTGGATGCTGGCTTTACCTGGGACTTGGACTGGCCCTTGACCAGCCAGTCATTGAGGTATGGATACACCTGCACCCCTCACCTTCTCAGGTAGGCTGCCGCTATTACCATGCATTTCATAAAGACCCATTTGGCTGCTGACAGGCTGAATGGGAGGATGATAAACTGGTAATGAGCCTGGTTCACAACGATCCTGAGAAACCTTCTGTGGCCTCGGAAAATAGAGATGTGGAAATAGGCATCTTTCAAATCAAGGGTGGCGTACCCATCCCCTGGATCCAGGGAAGAATGATGGAGGCCAGGGAGACAATGCACAGCTTCAGCCTTTGAGGTGCTGCAGGTCTAGAATGGGTCAGACCCCCCCTTTGGCATCAGGATTAAGGAATTGTGACGTTGCACTCCATATGCTTATGAATGTGAATATGATGTAACTGGAATATGTTTTATGCAACAGGTCTCTTGTATGATGTCACTAGAAAGCTTGTAATCTACTGAGTGTATTCATCCTATTTGTTTGCATGTATTATTTCTATGGCTGGAGTTGGGGAAATAAGATAAACTTGTATCACTGTTGTAGTCACACCAGGTGAGGGCCATCAATGGGGCATTAGGAACTTGCTCGCTCCCACTGATTAAGACAATTGATGGTACATGGTTTATTTACCTGTAAGTAAGTAAGAGTGAGTGAGGGGAGATAGCAACCCAGGAGGACTGGAGACTAGAGGTCTCAGAGACATGTGACCATGTCACCTGGTAGTGAAATCCATCTTAAATCTGGTACTTTTCCATTTAGCAGGAGGGGCAGGGACCCAGAGAGACACAAGATTCCCACCTTGTGCCAAAGTTATAAAAAGGGGTGCCAGTCATGAGAAAACCCCTGCTTATCGTCTGAGATGTCTGCTAGATCTAACAAAGACTGTACCAGGGGAAAGGATTGGGCCCAGCCTAGGAAAGAGTCCAGTCTGTGAAGTAAACTTATTGGAACATCTTTGAGGGTGAAATATTTCCTGTAATCAGTTTAACGTATTAGGCTTAGATTTGCGTGTTTTGTTTCATTTTGCTCTGTGACTTACTTTGTTCTGTTTGTTATTACTTGAAATCACTTAAATCCTACTTTTTATACTTAATAAAATCACTTTTGTTTATTAATAAACCCAGAGTAAGTGATTAATACCTGTGGGAGCAAACAGCTGTGCATATCTCTGTATCAGTCTTATAGGGGGCGGACAATTTATGAATTTACCCTGTATAAGCATTATACAGAGTAAAACAGATTTATTTGGGGTTTGGATCCCATTGGGAACTGGGTGTCTGGGTGCTGGAGACAGGTAACCTGCTGAGAAGTTTTCAGCTAAAGCCTGCAGCTTTGGGAACATGGCCCAGACCCTGAGTCTGTGTAAACAGGCTAGCATGTCTGGCTCAACCAGACAGGGTTCTGGAATCCCCAAGCTGGCAGGGAAAACCTGCTCAGAGATTATTTCAGCATATCAGTGACAGTCCCAAGGGGATCTCTGTGACTGAACCCATCACAGGAATAATGGGAGTGAAACTCTTTCCCTTTTAAGTTCTGAGGCACCTCCCCCACAGCTCCTACCCAGAGAAGGGCTTGCACCTCCTGGGCTAAATATTGCTCATGGGAAGGGTCCCTGAAGAGGGACAGGGATGGGGGGGTAGGAGGGAGACATGGAAACGAACTGAAGTGTATAACCCTCCTCCACCATACTCAGCACCCAATGGCCTGTTGGCTGGCGCTGTAGTCCAATGGTAAAATACATTTTCCTACCAAAATGGTCTTGCTTTTTTGATTCTTTTGACTTGGGGGTTGCCCCTTACAACCCTGGCCTTTCCCTCTCATTGGCTGCCGAGGCCACCAAGGATCCAGGAGAGGGTTGGGAACATATGTACTCCTACCCTTTGGTGGAGACATAGTACTTCCTATCTGCCTTCCTTGATGTGGGGGGCAGTGAGGAAGGGGTCTGCCACAGGTTTTAACTGGACCTATGATGGCCTCATTGAGAGGCAGAGCTACCTTCGACAAGGTCACTGCAGTCCAGATGTTGACCAGGCTGTTGGAAGACTTTTTAACTACCTCCACTTCCAGCCCTAAGTCCAAGGCCACCTTCTTCCATAACTCCTGGTGAGCCTTGAAGTGTCCTGGGGAGGTGAAACACCCACCCCTGCCTCTTCTGGGGTGGAGGAGGCAGTCTGCACCAGCATGGGACCTTTCTCCTCTCCTTCTGCACCAACCGGATCCTGTCGCTCCAAGTTCTGAGAGTCTGTACCTGGCTCAATATCGTAGTCGGGATCAGCTGCTGTTTGGCATGACAGAGGAATCCTTCTCTCAGACACCACTGAGTAGGAGCACCTAGACGGGGGTACAGGCACTGGAGGAAAACCCCAGGGGTTCCGAAAAGGCCATTACATCTGCATGGTGGCAGAGCTGACAGCAAACCGCAATAGGAGTCTCTCCCAAGCACTTTAGACAGCTAGAGTGCAGGTCGCTCAAAGGCATTGGCTTGCCGCAGGAGACACCGGGTTTGAAGCCCAGAGACCAAGGCATGCTCAGTTGCAGGAGCAGAAGAAACTCTGCTACGAGAGTCCAACTAACTATTTATACCAATCAACTAAAGTCAAAAAGTGAGATAACAACTGCGTGGAAAAGGGACGGTGTAACGAGAGAACCACTGAGATTCTTGAGAGGTGCAGGGCGGCTGGTCACAGAACCCAGAACCCAAGCCAGGCACCCGAGAGGAGTGGGGTGGGACAGGCCTCCCCACCCACCCCTCTTCTCCTCAGTTCTGCACTCCACAGGGATGAGCAGGGTGGGGGCACGGATGTCATCTCAGAGGGACAAGACCCTGAATTCCCCCATGTTGGGGGCAGACGCAGCTAGAGACGGGAACACTGTTGGTGGCCAAGGTGCAAGACTCAGGACAGTCTCTGGCAAGCTGGCAGCCCCAGGACTGCAAGGAGGGGGCAAATGGGGGGAGGAAGCAGGAGGGGGCAGCGGGGACAGAACAGCAGCTCCCCAGCGCAGGCTTAGGGGCAGGCGAGCAGAGCCCCTCACTCAGCACTGGGGAGGCCGGTGTCCGTGTGAGCAGGTCAGGCTGGACAGGCTCAGCAACAGGGGACCAATGGGTGAGACTAGTAAGGAGAGGGTTAAACTAGCTACAGAGGGGGTGAGCTAGGGGGCAGACACCTGGCAACCCTCTGCCCTGTCGCTTAGTCCTGGGGCAGGGCCACCAGGAACCCAGGTGTTCAGGGCAGGAATTAGTTCTCATTGCTGCTGTCCCAGTGCTGGGAGACAGGAGGGATAAGGGCGGGGGGGGCGGGGGGTGTTAGAACAAGGGGCTGGGGACACTCCTGGGTGAGGACCAATGTAACAGGCCAGTACCACTGACATGGGGGAATCAGGGATTTTCACTCGCCAGTCCCCTATCAGGAAGGGCAGAGCAATTACATCAGAGAGACCCTCACCTGCCAGGGACAGTTCAGCAGTGCCAGGCACTGAACGCTTATGGATCATCACCGAGCCAAGTGAGACAGCCCAATCGGGGGCCTGGCCAGGTGGCTACAGCCCCACACACTGGGGACCGAGCAGTAAGAACAGTTCTTTACACATCTATCGATAGTGTGCAGGGGAACCTGCCTGACCCCAGGGGCTCCAACCAGGGGACACGTGCTGGGGTTTGTGCTGCCAGAAGTAAGGAAGCCCAGGAGTCTCTGCACGTTGCAGGGGCTGATTCTCTAACTAACTCTCCAGCCCAAGTCGATGTCAGACCCTCACTCTGCAAAGCAAAGAGGAGTCTGACCTTAGATAAACTCACTCTGGAAATAAGACAAAACAAACAATGAAGGAGGCTCACTGATGAGCAGCTTCTTCCCAGGGCTGGAGTGAATGCAGCACTGCCCACTTTTGTGACTTTACTGTGCGTCTCATGATGATACTGGGAGGGGGAGCTCAGTGGTTTGTGCATTAGCCTGCTAAACCCAGGGTTGTGAGTTCAATCCTTGAGGGGGCCACTTAGGGATCGGGGGCAAAATCAGTACTTGGTCCTGCTAGTGAAGACTCAATGACTTTTCAGGGTTCCTTCCAGTTCTAATTTTGGGGGGGGGGGGTTTATTAAATCCCCAGTTCCTGAATTTATGGGATTAGAGGAGAGTCTCAGCTCTCTTTTCTTACAGCAGTAACTTCTAGCCCTTCTAGGAGCAGGGAAAACCCCAGAAATTTGTCCCCTAAAGGCTCAAACCAGAGGGCAAATAAAAATAAGCTCCAATATTATTCCCAAAATACTCATGATATTTAAGGCAAACTCGGGATTTTTGGGGCCTGACTTGTGTCTGAACATTTGGGGCTGTCGATATTGGGATTCCCCATCACTCGGTGTCTGGGAATTGAGACAAGACGTCTCAGAGCCCTGTTCTAGCTCTAGCATCACTGTCGTAGCTGGGAGGAACAAACCCCTCCATGCAGGAATCACTGGGTGCGATCCTCCGGCCTCAGTGACCAGGCGGTCAGACTAGCCAGGTCTGATAGTAACTTCTGGCTTTCGCACCTCTGCCACTATGCTTGGGAAATAACCACACATGAGCGGCAACATGAGCGGCAGGGGGTCCCCCAAAGGGCAGCAGAGGCAGCTGCAAGTGGGATTGGTAGCAGAAATCTGGGGTGTTTGGGGAGTGGACAGTATGAGAGTCCCACTTTGGAAGGTGTCAAAAATGTTTTTCGCATGGACCCTCCATCCTGCAGCCCCTTCCCATGGCCCTTTGTCCCCCAGATTCACACGGACTCCAGCGACAAAATGCCTGAGGGCTGTCCCCTCCCCCAATCCCCAACATGCATCCTTGTGTCCCTTCACCTTGTTTTCATCAACCACATGTTCCGCCCCCCCCCCATGTCCCTACATCCCTAGGTTGGGTCGGGTCCTTCACTCACCCTCGCTCTGGTTGTAGAGCTGACCCAGGGTGTTCAAACTCGCTTTGAACCATTTCTGATGGCGCTGTGCCCACCAGGTCCTCTCGTCCCAGAACTCTGGACCCTCGTTCTGCGCCATCCACACTGTGCGAGGCTCCGCCTTCTGCATCCCACTGGTGTAGACGTAGATGACCTGATCGTCCACATACACAACACGGCTGTACCAGGGCAGCCCCGGGCTGGGCTCCGACACCACCGTGTCCAATACGCGCCTGGAGTGCAAGCCTGAAAGGGGGGGGGGAGGGGCGATGGGGGAGTCAGACCCAACAAGACCCTGCCAGGGAGGGTCAGACCAAAGGTCCATCTAGCCCAGTATCCTGTCTTCCGACAGTGACCAATGCCAGGTGCCCCAGAGGGAATGAACAGAACAGGTAATCATCAAGAGATCCACCCCCTGTTGCCCATTCCCAGCTTCTGGCAAACAGAGGCTAGGGACACCATCCCTGCCCATTATGGCTAATAGCCACTGATGGACCTATCCTACATGAATTTAGCTAGTTCTTTTTTGAATCATGTTATAGTCTTGACCTTCACAACATCTTCTGGCAAGGAGTTTCACAGGCTGACTGTGCGTTGTGTGAAGAAATACTTCCTTTTGTTTGTTTTAGACCTGCTGCCTATTAATTTCCTTGGGTGACCCCTAGTTCTTGTGTTACGTGAAGGGATAAATAACACTTCGGTATTCACTTTCTCCATACCAGTCATGAAGACGACTATGATTTTGTCATGGATATTTTTAGTAGAAGTCCTGGACAGGTCATAGGCAACAAAGAAAAGCTCACAGAAGCCCGTGACCTATCCATGACTTTTACTAAAAATATCCAAGGCAAAATGGGGAGCTCAGCTGTGTGACCCACACACCGCCTGCAGGGGCTAGGCAACTGCGGGCCACTCAGAGCTCCAGGTCCCCCTGCCGCACACGGCAACTGGGAGTGGTTGCTTCCCCCACAGCCCACGGAGCCTCCCCCGCCGCTCCTGGCTCCTACAGGTGGCAGGGGGACCCCACAGCTTCCGGCCGCCACGGGCTGAAGTCATGGAGTTTGCTGGAAGTCACAGATTCCGTGATTTCCACGACCTCTGTGGAAAAAAAAACATAGCCTTAGTCTTCTCCATCTACACCTTATCTCTGGGCAAAGTCATCTACAAACACAAATTCAACTACCATCTCTGTGCTGATGACTCACAGATCTACCTATCCACTCCAGACTTGTCTCTTTCTGCCCAAACTACTATCTTGGCCTGTCTCTCTGATGGCTCCTTGTGGCTGTCTCGTCATCAGCTCAAGCTCGATGTGGTTAAAACAGAGTTCCCAATCTTCCCCCCAAGACTTCCCTGCTACCTCCTTTGTCAGTCACTGTGGATAATGCCACCATCCTGTCACTCAGGTCCGTAACCTGGACGTCATCTTTGACTCGGACCTCTCTCTAGGTCCTCACATCCAGGTTATGTCTAAATCTTGCTGACTCTTTCTGCAGAACCTCTCTAAGATGTGGCCTTTCCTGTCCAGCCCCACAGCAAAACTCTGCTCCAGGCTCTCAGCATCTCGTGTCTCGACTACTGCAACATTCTTTTCTCTGGCCTTGACAAATGCAGGCTCATCCCGCTTAGATCCATTCAGAAGATGCTGAAAAGATCATTTCCTATCCCGTTGATCAGACCGTGCCACCTCTCTCTTTGCCTCCCTCCATTGGCTCCTCCTCCTCCATGGCATCAAATATAAACTGCCTGATTTCAGCTGTGAGGCCCTTCACAGCCTAACCCCACCTGACCTGTCATCTCTCATTTGCTACCAAAATGTGGACTCCCACCTCTGATCTGCACACGATTCCAGCCTCCATCACCCACTTTTTACATATTCAAAAGACCCCTTTTTGTCCCATGCTGCCCCTCATGCCTGGGAGGAGCTCCTGGTAAATGTCTGCGAAACTACCTCATCCTCCAAAACCCTCCTCAATGCCCTCCTTTGCCAGGGTGCCTAAAAACTTAGATAACCGTTAAGCCTTTGGTGCTCTGAGACCACAGCCTGTCACGCTGGCCAGTGCTGTCTACTTATGATCCCCCATCTGTCTATATCCATCTGTTGTTTCCTGTCTTATACTCAGATGGGACCATATTTTGTTTTGTATCTGTACAGCACCTGGCACAGGAGGGTCCAAGACCATGACTGAGGCGCCTGGTGCTGCCACAAAACAATAATAAATAATGATGACGACGACAGCAGGGCAGGGAGCTTTACTTTTTAAATTGGCTTGCTCTTCCCACTAGAAATCCCCGTCCTGTTGGCCCTGTTTTTCGTGAAAGACTCTATGGACAGTTGGAGAACTTGAGGGGTGGACGTGTAACCCGAGAAAACGAGAGGGGAAGGAATTATTATTTCATGTTGTGGTAGCACATTCTAGCTTTAATCATGCTGGGGCTCCATTGTACTGGGTGTTGTAAAGACAGAGCAAGTGACAGTCCCTGCTCCGAACCAATTACACTCATTGTAATTGCAATTTTGGTTGGACATATTCGTGGATGTTTCATCACATGACATAATCTTTAATTAAAGATTAATCTTTAATTCCTGGAGACTCCAGGACAATCCTAGAAGGTTGGAAACCCTATGCTGATGCCACCTCTACCCAGTTTTTGTTCTGCTTTTAACTATTTACGTTTTCTTGTTTGTTTCTTTTTACCAGAATAGTTAAATACACCCCCTAGTGCAAGTGCAGTTCTATTGGTACAGCCATGCTTTACACCAGTATAGCTTATTACTGTAAATGCAGGGGAACAATCTGTACCAGTGTAACCAGGGCTTAAATTCAGCCGGAGTTGTCCAAAGCGGAGCACAGGTAAATATTTTCAGACCTCAACTCCAGCCTGATGCTGTTGAATGGGGGGACAGAGGGGTGAACCACGGGGGACTCCAGGAAATACTCAATGGCAATTTAAGCCTTGAGTATAACTGTGTCCACACTAAGGCTATGTCTGCACTGCACTTTAGTTGGTAAAACAGGGGTGTGAAAAAAACACCCCGACCAACAAAAGTGCTACCAATGAAAAGTGCTGGTGTGGACAGCGCTTAGTCGACACAACTATCACCTCTTGTTGGGGGTGGTTTTATTTTGTCAGCGGGAGAGCTCTCTCCTGCCGACAAAGAGGGGCTATGCTGAGTGCCTTACAGCTGTCAGATGAGCAGTGTAGACATAGCCTAAGTGGTGATTTAGGCTAAGTCTACACTAGACAGTTCAAAGTGCTGCCACAGGAGCGCTCCCACGGCAGTGCTTTGACCTGACAGCGTGGTCACCCGTGAGCACTGGGGAGAGAGCTCTCCTGGTAAACCAGGTCGACAAGGGGAATGGCTCCGAGGGCTGGGAGCCTGTCTACGCTAGCGCTTTACAGCGCTGAAACTTGCTGCGCTCAGGGGAGTGATTTTTCATACCCCTGAGCCAGCAAGTTACTGCGCTGTGAATTGCCAATGTAGACAAGCCCTTAGCTACGATGGTTTCAAATTGTGTAAATGTGGTACAAACACTGCATGTAGACCAGCCCTCAAAAGTTTATTCCACCTGTTTAAACTTCATTGTTACCTTGGCCTTCTCTACACACAAATTCACACCAGTTTAAATTAAGGTGTGAGTTAAACTGGTTTAGTTAAACCAGTGCAAGAGGCTCTGTGGACACTCGTTTTCCAGTTTAAGAATGGCTTTTTTCTGTTTACCTTAAGTCGGTTAGGCCTTGTCATGGAGAGTTACACCAGTATAACTAAACATAAGTGATTCATTTAAACTGTACAAAGCCCCACGTGGATACTCATATTCCGATGTAAGAGAAGCTTTTTTCAGTTCAGGTTAAGTTGCTGGGAAATCAGTTTAACCTAAACTGAAAAAAGGCCACACTTATGCTGAAATAAAAGGGTTCACAAAGGGGTTTGCACTCATTTAACTAAACCAGTTTAATTAAACCGGAGCAAAAATGTGTGTAGCAAAGCCCTATTTAAACCAAGCACCTGTTGAGCAGAAGAAAAAAAGCTGTCCTCGGTAAAGACTCAATACCCCGTGGCCCTTCATTTGAGGACTGAGAATTCCCACTGCAAGTCTCCGGTACTCCAAGGAGACCTCCAGCAAAACAGGCAAACGAGACAAAATAAAACAAGGAAGGGAAAAAACCCTTTCTAGTCTTTGCTATCCCTTAGGAAGCAACAGAAATGGACACCCTATTTCTCCCTTGTCAGGTCACCTTTAATTTAATGAGCACAGAGGATTTTTCTTTCAACAAAGGCCCAGCCAGGCACCAATGGGAACTGGTGCTGGATGTAACGCATTAAAAAAGCCAAACCAGACAGTGGGAATGTGAGCTTGGCCCAGGCCTTCTCTGATCATCATCAACATCCCTCTCTGCCCACGCACACACACTCCTGTAGGTCCCAGGCCAAAGCTCTGCACCACTGGAGTTACACCGGGACTGGGAGTGAACCCGAAATGAGGGCCTCCTGTCTCGTTGCTGCAGGGATAACCCGGCACATACACCCCCTCACTTCCCTGCTTTCGTTCCTGGCCCCTGACTCAACCCCGCAGGGCCAGGCTGCACTGGGCCTAACCCTGTTTACGTCAGACCAAGCCTGCTACTTAGGTGACACGAGGGCAACAATGTGCCTGAGACCACTTCAAACAAACCCCCAAGGCCAACCCACAGCTTCACACAGCTGGATAAGGGCTGCTGAGCTCCCCGGGGTCTGAGCTGCTGCCACACGGCAAACTCTGGGCCAAGATTGGGGCCATGGAAGATTCAAGTCCATGCTAGGAAAAGCAGGATGTGCCTGTGCCTGCCCCTCGCCACCTTACTGGCACCTGAAGCTCTTTATCCGGCAGTCACAGGAGATCCCAACAGCACAAACACAGCAGCTGTTCTGTGCTCTGCAACGGTAGCTTCACCCAAACTGAGACCTGATTAATGCAAAGATCCTTGGGCTCTAACCTCTTCCCTTGCCCTGGATGCACAGTCAGAGACCGGACAGATCCCCTCCCTAAGCTGACACCTCTAATTAGACTTGCCTCCATTACAGACAGGACCGACGAGAGGGGGGGAAGCCGGTACAAATTACCGGGGTCCAGAAGGGGGCCCGGCTTACCCCCCCTCTCGTTGGCCCTGTCTAGCTGGTCCGCCCTTGCTGGGGGGCCCGAAAATTTTTTTTTCACCGGGGCCCGAACCTGCTCTCGGCGGCCCTGATTACAGACATGTCCCAGCACTGACCATGGGGTCACTGGACTGGTGCTGACAGAGCCTAGCTGTATGTAGCCAAGTACAAGCCACACTCAGGAGTTCCAGGCACTGAGG